TCCTGCTCTTACTGTCCAATCCCCAAACCAGCTGAGTCCAGTCCCTGGTGCAGCCTGACTGGGGCAGACACAGGGTCCTCCTTCTCCTAGGGCAGCAGGGAAAGCAGCAGCAGCAGGTAGGAGAGGGAGGAAGTAGGGCTGTGCAAAGCTTCGGGGGCCGAATCCCCAAATCCAAATCGAATCAGAGGACCCTATAATCTCTCTGAATCGATTCGGAAAGATTGTGATTCAGACATAGACACAGCTTTAAATGTTTTTTCTACATACCTCTAGGTAGCAGGCGGCTCATGAATGCGGCAAAGCTGGGGCACATGGAGTGTCCCACAGGAGTGTGAGGGGGTTCCCCAGCAAGCTCGGCAGCACACTGGGAAGTGGACCAGAAGCACTTCTGGGTCCGCCGGGGAGTGCACTGGGGGGCGCCTGGCTTGGCGACTGGTGCCTCCTGGATCTGGGGGGGCACCTGGCGTCCCCCTGTGGCTGATTGCTGAGCCAGGGGGGCGCGGGTGTGCCCCTCTGCATGCCCCCTGGCAGACCCGGAAATGGACCAGAAGTACTCCGCTGAGCATGTAAAAGGCCCCCATGCTCCTGTGGGACACTTCATCCACCCCAGCATTGCAGCGTTCACAAGCTGCGCATAGTACCCTGAGGTATGTAGAAAAAAACATGTAAAGCTGTGTCTATGTCTGAAGTGCTGATTCTCCAAATCAGCATCAAATCTTCAGATTTGGATTCAGCTGAATCGAATCAGGGACAGTGATCCGAATCAACGAATCAAATCACTGTCCCTGATTTGGGCCGAATCCGAATCAAATAGGGCACACTTTGCACACCCCTGGGAGGAAGGGAAAGGGAGGGGATGTGCCTCTGAGCATGAAGGGTAAGAGAGAGGGGAATTTTCATTTGCTTTAGGGACTTCAAAAAAGACTCCAGAGGTTTCTGCAGCACTGGCACCGGAGGAGAGGAGGAGGTTGGGAGCAGGGGACTACAGATACCCCTGCAGTGTGGGGTACTGATTCTGAACCCTGCTTTGGGAAATCCTGGATCTGCCCCTAACCAAAGTAGTAAGACTTAGCTACAAATGTAGTGAATATAAGCATTTGGGTGGTATACCATGTACCTTTTTTGACTTTCAGAGAGCTCTTAACATTTGTGAACTGCTGGCCTACATTACATTACAGTAGGAATTCTGGTACGTGGAAGCAGAATGGACCCTAAGTCTATGGCCCCTATGAAAGGGATTGAAGGAACTATCATCAGCATTTCTAGTTTGAATGTCAAGGGATTAGAAAAGTATTGAGAAAATAAACGTTTCCCTTAATATTTCATGTCAGGCTGCAGTTCAATATTGTTCCATCTGTCCCTGGCTGTGGTAAAAAACAAAAAATGTACTTTGATTTTAAGGAGAGCACAGTTTGCCAAGAAGAGTATGGTATTGGTGGGATTGTGCCGGATAAAGAAGAAGAAAGGGTGATCAGCCATGAATAGTTCACTAGATGGCAAGGATCTTGGGTTAATGACTGCTCCTGTGGCTGCTGCTGCTGCCTCAGTGCCCTCCTCGTTAACCTCCACATAGGCCTTGTGAACAGCCTCTGATATATATAGAGATTTTATTTCTGATATTGCAGAAAGATCAGCTTTTAACTCACCAAAGACGTCAGTCATCCCCATTTCTTTTAAAGATGATTTGAGATTAAACATGTCCTCAAGTTTGAACCTTGGAAGATACACCTCCACTTTTCTCTCCATCAGGCTTTCTGAGGAGGTCCAAAGTGCTAATTTCTCAGCAATCATTGTCCTTTCAATCTACAGGAACAAAAAAGAGAGATCAAAATAAACTATAGAGGAATGAGAGATTATTAAAATGTTAGCTCTTCATTCAAGTTGAATTCAGATAGAAATGAAAGGCAGGGTCCAGGCACTTATGTATTATTCCACAGGATAATGTCTTTACCTTTTTCAGGCCATTATCTCTATTGGTGATGTCATCTGGTAGCAGTATGATCATACTCAGTGATTTTTTTATTATAAGGGAGTTCAAGAATTTTAGCGTTGATCCCTTGTACGTGGTTCATTTTAAATCTGCTTTGCTGATACATCAGCTACACAGATTTTTTGTCATTCTTGTTAAAAGAAAATTGTAGGTAAAAAAAAAATATATATATATATACACACACACATATACATGCACAGTTAATAGATACCGTCTTCCTGTATGTCAGCATATGATACAATGTCAGTGTTCTATATTTATCTCTTTCACATTTGCAAGATGATTATCTGTCATTGATTAAATATTTCACAAATCCTATTTATCTTGTTTAATGAGAAAGTCTACATCATGGCATCTTAGAGAGCTGTCAGAGATGCTGCTTAAAGTGGAATTATTATTATTTGACAAGTAGAGGGTAATGCATACTGGACAAAGCAAGACAATGTAGTATGTTAATGCTATGGACTTTGATTCCTATGGGCCACGGGCCAGTTTGCATTTTGTGAACCCTAACACTAGGCAGGATAGTCAGTATTGAACTGGTAAAAGGCAGAGTTGTATTACAAGAATCAGGCTGATTTGTTCCAGTGCAAAGGCCGTACTTTGCTTTCATTTGCCCTGATGTAATTCCAGGGTAGCTACATTGATCTTTTTTGGAGTTACCCCCAGATTTATAATCCTGTAACAGTCTGACACGGAGCCTGCTTAAGGCCGGGTCTCAACATGGGCCCACCCCCTTGTCTATGTGGGACAGTCCACCCAATCTTACATGCAACGACTTGCTGTTTTATAAACTGGTGTAAAATGTGGGAGGCTGCTCATTTGAATGCCCTGAGGCCGGGGGACATTGTACACGGTTCCATACCACTCCCACACGGTGTCCCATGCCTCGCAGATGGCATCATAAGTTGATCATAACTCTGGCCCGAGGCTGAGCCAACTCGGCCCCTTGCTGGGCCTCTCACATTCTATTCGCGCGCTCCGCCCCGCTCACAAGACCTCGTTCACTCCGCCCCGTCTCACAGGGCCTCCTACATACTGCTCCTCACTGGGCCACTCTCAACTCGCCCTGCTCCTCCTAAGCAACGCCCCTGGGCCATCAGGCTTACCTACTCCCACGCTGGCCAGTGCACAGGCAGCACTTTCGGGTCGCTCAAGCAATCCCTATTCTACGAGGCACTGACCTTATGCCCTGCCCTGGGTAGAGCTCAGCCTCTAACCCCTTGCTGGGCAACTTACTCCTGTTGTCCCTCACATGGGGGTTGGCCCATGTGCTGCCCTTCAGGCTTCTCCTGCAACCCTACTCAGCCCTTCAGGTCACCCTATGCAACCCTACTCCGTACCCACCAACACCCAGGTCTTCAGGCCACAATGGTGCACCCTACTCTGGGTTGGCTACACACAACTTCTGTCCCACTCACTGGGGCTGCTCCCTTCCACTGCTTCCACTCTGAGGCCTCCAGAGTCTTACACCCCTGCGGGGCTCAGATGCCTCTCTCCAGGCATGCTTGGCCCTCCCACTGTCTCTCCCCACTCATAATTACCCACAAAACAGTGGGGACTGGGATTATAAGGCACCCCTATCTGCCTTTCACTGGAGAGGCAAATGACCTGGCATTTCTGGGGAATTGCCCCACCACGGGCAGTCCCACCAAGCCATCCTTCCTCAGCAGGTTGCTGTTTTACATCATACCCAGGACCAGGAGCTTCCTGCCATCTCCATAGCTCCTGCCCTTACCTCCAAAATGTTCCAAGCAGCAGCTCGGCCGGATGTGGTTATTCCAGCTGCCAGCAGCACTCTGCTCCCTCAGTCCTGAGAGCCTGGATCGAAAATGGAGACAACTCAGTCCTCTCCTCCTATCCCAGAGCTCTCCTCCAGTCATGGGACTGCCTCATCAGCACTAGCTCACACCTGCAGGCTGCCCTGCTGCCTGCTCTCAAGCCTTAAGAGCGGCAGGCACCAACTGGTGCCCTGCCACACTGAGAGAAAAGGTGGATGCACTTTAAATAGGGCATCCAGTTCGCTAATGTTAACCCACTGAGAAATTTGCAAAAAGCACACTTAAGGTGCTTAGTCTCATTTGCAAAAGTTATATAGGCACTTATGGCTAATAAAGGACTTGGGTACCTACAAATTCAGTGTTGCAATGCCTGGGTAAGATGTATAGACTTGCTACACAGACTATGTGAAAAAATGAGGCATGGCAAAAGGGAAGCTACCTAGAGCTAGCCAACAAGAAGACCGAGATGTTTCTGAATTCCTACCTCTCTACCTTATTCAGGAATGTAGATAGGTGCCTCCATGGACTGGGCATCTAGAGCCCAGAATCTTCTCCTGAAGGTAGGTATCTTTATCTGCTCTTTTGAGAAAAGCTGGGCAGGGAGCACACTTTGCTCTTAACATATTTGTAGAAGGGAAGGGATGGTATAACAGGGCCCTTTTAATCCCCATTACAGGGGAAAGGGGGCAGAGCCTTTCAAGGAAAATTGACAGGCTGGAGGCCTTGCTCCTTAGAGAAATCATACTATCATAATGCTTAGGGTCGGAAGGGATCTAAACAGCTCATCAGGTCTGACCTGCTGTCCCGGGCAGGAACGGGTGCTGGGGTCATATCAGGATGATATTAACCCTCATTAAATGGGTTAATTTGTCATGCAATCAGGCTCTTTTAAAGCACTCTGCAGCTGTGCAGAGTCAGGGCATGCCTGTAGAGTGCTTTTAGGGGGCCAATCATGTGATAACTATCACTTCTGTCAGTGCCCATCACCTCCCTGGACCTGTATGTGATGCATCTGTAGATACATGACAAGGTCCGGTTAGCCTTAGTGACACCTTCCTCGTATTGGCGGCTCATGTTCATCCTGGTGTCAACAATGACTCCGAGATCCCTTTCTGCCACCGTGTTGACAAGAAGGGTATTCCCCAGCCTATAGGTGTGGAAGGAAATATAAAGGAAGGGCCCCAACAGTGTAGGGTCAGAAGGGTTCTGATCAGGCAGCAGGCAAAGAACTGCTGGAGGAGGAGAAGAAACCTCAGGCTATGACATGGGTAAGCCTGGAGAGAACTGAGGGAGGCCTAACAGGAGGCAAAAAAGGCCAGCTTAGTGCTGGGCCTGTTCAGAAGGATTCAGGAGTTTGAAAAAGAAGGGGCTGGCCTGGAAAAAGACAACTAGTGGACTCACCAGGTAGGAAAAAGTCCGGTAGAGATAGGCAACAAAAATAAAAGGGATATCTAAAAGAAAGTCCAAACTGAGAATATAGCATACTAGGAGGTCCAGCAAAACCACATGTCCTGGCTGCTGGACTCTCCTTCTCTTCAGAGACTTGCACACTGAATAAGATGAAGATGTAGGAGGCAAAACAGACAGGAACACCTGGGGAGAAGGGCTGACTGGAGTGGAGCAAGGAGAAGGTACAAGTTGCTACAGATGGCAAGGGAGAGGTTTTATTTGAACTTCCATTTGTGCCACACCTTCTTTAGGGACTTTACACAGGAAAGCTGGAATGTCTTAGACTGAAACTAAGGGCACTAACAGACATGCAGCTCCCTGCTGTAACTCATGGTGCTTCACAGAAAGCGCCATGAGTTATAGAGAACACCCTGACCCAACAGATGTTCACTGTTTGGTTGTGGGGAGGAGGGAGGAGAAATTGAGCTCCAGTTTGGGCTGATTCAGTGGAGAGAGCCTACATGTCTGCAGCCTCTCTCCCCTAGCCCCATGCCCCCACCCCCACAGCTACAATGCTGTCTTCAAAATGAGAGTGGGGAGAAGGCAGGGGAGGGAGCTCTGATCTGGGGTTTGTTCAGCTTGCACTTGGGGGGGTAAGGGGATTAGAGCTCCTCAACAGCACCAGGAGTGGGGCTGGACCGATGTAGCCCAGCCCTACTCACATGCAGGGAGAAACAGAAATTAATGAAGCTGCTCTGCCTTGCAGTGCCTTCATCCGAACCCTCATTAAATGAGGGTTAATCTGTCATGCAATCAGGCTCTTTTAAAGCACTCTGCAGCTGTGCAGTCAGGGAAGCCTGTAGAGTGCTTTCAGGGGACCAATCATGTGATAAATATCACTTGTGTCAGTGCCCAAAGTTGTGAATTGCTGAAAAAGATATAAAGTCAGCCTCCCAGTTATCATGTAACTGCATCCATTTGCCTCTGGATTAGATCATGAGTCCTTCCAAATAGGAACCTTCCATATCTGCAGTTTTGCCATAAAGCCTGAACTCAAAGTAACAATTATTTATATTTCCTCTTTCCTTGGGATGTGGGTTTGTAACTGTTTATGCGCTCTTTCAAGTTAGTTGCCTATAAAAATTGAGTTATTCATTTTAACAGTTGACATGTCAATACCACCTTGATTTGTTCAGAGAAATTTGTGGGGAAATTCACTCAAACAATTTTTCCCCCATTTCCTGTGTCCTAGGGAACAGTTCAACAAGCAGCTTCTATGTGTAGACTACATTTTTGTGTGTTTTGTCAGCCATTCACGTATACTGATCTTCCAATACTATCTTAAGTGGGCTGCCTACTTTTTTGATAGGTTGTTCTGGGCTGTTCTTCAAGTCTCACTTTAGGGGTAAACATTTTCGCCAAAGAGAAACCTGCAAGGTGACGCCCTCCTTTACACACTTACAATAAAGTTTGCCTTGATGCTAGTTAGCATCCAAATATATTTTCCGGGATATGGTTCCTCAAACATCACAAATGCACTGAATGTTCTTGGCTGTAGAACAGAGAAATTTCCATATTATAAAGAAAAAAAATTAAGAACACAAATATCAACAATGCTTAACCACAAGATCATACCCTATATAACTGTAGGATGACATATAAGTTTGTGACCTCTTCTGCTTCTTTTTAACATAGCAGAAGACTTAAAAAGGAACTTTTCTCCCAATTCTTTTTCTTCATGTTTTATTACGTTAGAAATTCAAGTACGGTCTTACTGGTAACTACCATGGGTTACCACAGGAACCAGCAGCGGGAAGGTGAGGATCCAGGCACACGTGTGTCCCG